TGGGTTTTCAGACTCAAACGAGATGCTGATGGAAGGATATTAAAGCACAAAGAGCTGGAGCATCAGACAAATTGACATCAACAGTGCCTTCCTAAATGGAAAACTAACTGAGGAAGTTTATATGAGGCAGCCAGAGGGTTTTATTGACAAAGCAAACCCCACCTTTGTCTGCAAACTGAAGAGGGCTCTTTATGGACTTAAACAAGCACCTAGGGCTTGATATGAAAAACTGAAGGAAACTCTTCTTGATTGGAACTTTCTAAAGTCAAAGGTAAATAGTTCATTATTCTTTTACATGAATCAAAACAATGTAATTTTTGCCTTAGTATATGTTGATGAGATAGTGGTCACAGGCAATGATCAATGTCACACCCCCATTCATATACATAACTATCCATTAACCTGTGCGGGAATAAAATTGATGACTCAACCTAGACATAGAATTTCTCACTTTTTTTTCACCTGATAAAATGACACCATAAGCTCAAAATGGCATCCCACAACAGAACCATATAGGTTGTCATCCATGTACATAGAACTCTGGAATCCCGAAAGAGCTCCACAGTTAGCCGTGCTCTCTATGTAGTTCCAGGCTAACCTACAATGCAAAAACTACATAAGTCAATACTTAGTAAGCAAAAATCATGCATGTCATGAACATAAATAATAATGATATATGCCATTATGTCATTTACTTTAAACGTCACGATAAAGAAGCATCATATTCCAATATGTATCAAAATACACTTGAAATCATTTCATTGGGCCTTTGACCCACCAACTATGCACCGGATAGAGCTCTGCATAATATCAATTTCAATAATCAAATGGCTAATATGAATTCGACACCGATGAGTGGACCATCCTCTCGTGACCACTAGAGGCCCATCCCCTAACTACCCCTATGATTACCCAAGAGGTCTCCCACCCAGCAGCGCAATAATCATAATATCACAAGGACACAGTCGAGTGGTCCACCCTCCCGTGATTACCAAAGGTCCATCCCCTGTCTACTTTTGCAATCACCCAGGAAGTATCACCCACTATGCCAAACATATCACATAAATATACCTCAAATGCATCGACACCCTAGTAGTGGTCAATAAAATATTTATAAAGAAAACTCAATTTGAAATCATGTTTCGCATGCATGATTTTTAACCATGTCCCATATCGTGCATGCATATGAAAATACTTATGAATGATGTATTTAATGAAAATCGATGTCAATAGGTTCCGTAACTTCATACTCAACGATCATAACCATCATATGATGTGCTATAAGCCTCTTATCAAAGTTATGTAAATATTCCAACATTACCATATCACAAATACTAGGTTCTTGCATCGTAGTTGAAAATTAATTTTTACTTACCTTTCGCCTTTGTGTGTGCAAGTTCCTACGGGGTGTATATCAATTTCCTTTTTTGCTCAACGTCGAAAAATTACTTGTATTACCATCTAATATTAAAGACAATCGTCCATTTAATAATCTTAACACACACAATCCCAAAATACGTCCATTCACACCAAAATAATTTAGACGAAATCATTATTTCAAGTTACAGATAGCATTACAAACTAGTCCCATAAGTCTTGCTATTTCTCGAGTCCAATTTTGAACGTCAACGTCATCTAATTGTTTTCATTAACTAGTACTTCTTAGAATCTATTTTCTAGGCCCAAGAGATCATTAATGGACATGTAAAGGTTAAAATCACATTTAACAAGAAAATTGACAGAATCTATTTTCAGGTTTCATCACCGTCCAACTACTTTTCCAATCTTTTTTCACCCCCTTATCTCCAATGACTCCCAAATTTTTACCACATTTCTATAACATGTATTTGAAGGTAATAATGCTCTAAAATCATGACAAGTAAAGTGTTCTCAGCATCAAAATAGTCCATTTCCACAACACCAAAATCATGCAGTTTTCATTGTGATAGTTTTTGGTTTCCATTTTATTAGCATGTCACCAATCAGATTCCAGGCTATTAGAAGACCATTTATATCCTTCTAACTCCCATATAACAACATTCATTTACATAGCTACAAGTTATATCTTAAGTATTATCCAAAATCAAAGTTTAAACCATCCAAATTCATCAATCAACGCATCTCTATTCCTGTTGGTTTCTTTCAGGTCCTTGTACTTGATTACCCATCTCTTTTGACATCATAAAATCATCTAAAACCATTATAATTAACCTCAATTAAGTTTAGAGTTTTAACATATTATAAAACACCCAAAAGGACTAAAGAAAAACTTCAAAACTGTGACTTAAACTAACCTTTACAAACTGCAATTCCAGCTTCTTATTTTTCTATCTCTCTTTCACTTGGGGTCACTTGGGGATACACTGGAGGTTAAAATGTCTTATCTAAGAGATATATAAGTAGCCTCAAGGATTGGAGTCATGAATGGTGCTTAAAGATGAAGGAAAGTGTAATTAAAAGACAAGTATCCTCAAGCATGAGCTGTCCAAGCAGGAGGTGGATTTATGCAGCCAACTTTGACCTTTTCCTTCCCTTAAACGGTTCCATATGTGTCGTAGAAGATAAGTATCTATTCTTTAATAAGTGATAATGGTTTGGAAGACGTGCCGGAGGCTTAAGGTTGAACGAATTAAATGTTAGATTGACAAGTCCTCACAACTTACAAGTTAAGTAGGAGGTGCCTTCCTTGCAGCAACACTTGACTTTTCTCCTATTATATTTAGGTCTATTTATAAATTATAAGATATGTATACATCCTATATTAAGTACTTAAGGAGCATGACACGAAATTGATGCCTTAAGTCTAAAGGAATTGGGCATTAATATGATAACTATCCCAAGCATGAGGTGTCCAAGCACGATGTGTCTTCATTGCAACCATACTTGACTTTCAACCGTTATATTTGGATGCATTTCTGACTTTTAAGATTTATATCCATCCCATATTAAGTGCTTAGGGAGTAGACACGAGATTGATGCCTTAAGGTTGAAGGAATTGATTGTTAAAATGACAAACACCCCTAGCACGAAGTATTCAAGCATGAGATGGTCACTTGTAGTAAAAATTTGATTTTATATCTATCTTTGTAGGTGCAAATCAAGTATCCTGGACTTATTTTAATGTGTTGACAATCCAATTTACTTTCCTTAAGATCCCACAATATATTATAGAACTAATTCTCCAACCGTTCATTTAATTACTTACCCGATTGATGCCCCACCGTCGATTAATTTTCACAATTCGCACCTCAATATTTATAACATTATATGAGACATATATTATCGCATCATGATCATGTTCCTTTATGTCTCGTATCCCATGACCTCGATCAACCGAATGAAAGCTTGAACCTTTGTCGATACTAATTTCCGACCTTCTTGATTTTTCATTGCTTACCAAACCAATTTCCAACATTTAGTTAACCTAGTTTTCTATCATAGCTCAATATAAAATTCACCACCTTGGTCGAGGCACCATTTTAAGAGAAAGCAATTAGGAAATTGATGCAAATGACAATGTAATTAGCATGAAAATGCATGAATCATATTGCCCATATGTATAACGTAAAGCTCGGGGTATTACATCCTCCTCTCCTCATAAAAATTTAATCCTCGAAATTTGTTTACCAAAAAGTTCAGAATATTTAACCCGCATTTCATCTTCTCTTTCCCAAGTAGCCTCTTCGGTTGACTGATTCCGCCACAATACCTTAACCGATGAAATTTTCTTGCTTCTCAGTTGCTTTATCTCTCGTTGAAGGATCTCTATCGATTTTTCTTCATAAATCAAATCTGGTTTTATCTCTACCGGTTTATTCCTCAATATGTGAGAAGGATTTTCAATATGCTTTCTTAGCATGGAGACATGAAATACATTGTGCACTTGAGACATTGATGAAGGAAGATCAAGCTTGTAGGCAACATTTTCAATTCTCTCGATAATAGAAAATGGACCAATGTATCTTGGGCTTAATTTTCCTTTCTTTCCAAATTGCATAACCCCTTTCATCGGCGCTACCTTCAAAAATACTTGGTCTCCTACTGTGAATTCTAGTATTCTTCTTCTTTGATCTGCATAACTTTTCTGTCGGTCTTGAGCAGTTTGCATTCACTGACGTACTTGTATCACAACTTCAGCCATTTCACGAACCATCTCTGGTCCTAGCAAATTTCTTTCTCCAACATCATCTCAATAAACTGGACATCTACATTTTCTACAATATAATGCTTCATAAGGAGCCATTCCAATTGTAGCCTGAAAATTGTTGTTGTATGCGAATTCCACCAAAGGTAAAAATTTACTCCACTGGCCTTGGAAGTCTAATACACAAGCCCTCAGCATATCTTCTAATATTTGTATTGTTCTTTCTGATTGTCCATCACTCTAAGGATGATAAGCTATGCTAAAAGATAACTACCTTCCCAAAGCCTTATATAAACTTCTCCAGAAGAGGGATAAAAAACTTAGAATCCCTGTTTGAGATAATAGATAGTGGAACTCCATGAAGCCTGACTATTTCTTGTACATAAAGCTAAGCATATCAGTCTATGGAATAACTGGAACAAACTGGAATGAAATGGGCTGATTTTGTTAACCTATCCACAATAACCTATATACTATCATATCCCTTAGTTATTTTTGGTAATTTCACCACAAAGTCCATTGTGATTCTTTCTCATTTCCATTCTGGGATAGGTAATAGTTGTAAGGCTCCTGCTAGTCTTTGATGTTCTGCTTTTATCTGTTGACAGGTTAAACATTGTCCTACCTATTCGGCTATCTCACCTTTCATGTTTAGCCACCAATAATGCAACTTCAAATCTCTATACATTTTAGTAGCTCTTGGATGAACAGAATATGGTGTCGTGTGAGCTTCAGATAAAATGTCCCATCGGATATTTTCTACGTTAGGTACATATAATCATGATCTAAATCGCAAGATACCATCTGCTGATATATGAAAATCTAAAGCCTTTCCATCATGTATATCATTCTTTATCTAGGAACAATAATCATCTTCCTGTTGCCCTTGCTGAATTCTATTCAATAAAGTTAGCTGAAGTGTCAATCCTGCAAATTTAGCCTCTACAAATCCTTGCGACACAACTTGAATACCCATTTTCTGTAAATCTATCAATTCTGATTTTTGAGTTACAATCATTCTCGCAACACTGGATGTTGACTTCTTACTTAATGCATCAACTACAACATTAGACTGTCCTTGATGATAGCTTATAACACAATCATAATTTTTTACCAATTCTAGCCATCTTCTTTGTCTCATGTTCAATTCCTTTTGTATAAATAGATATTTCAAACTTGTGTGATCAGTGTCAATCTCACACCGTTCTCCATACAAATAATGCCTCCATATCTTAAGTGCAAATACAACTGTGGTGAGTTCCAAGTCATATGTAGGATAATTCTTTCCGTATTCTTTAAGTTGTCTAGAGGCATATGCAATGATCTTACCGTCTTGCATCAATACACATCCCAAACCATTCTTTGAAACATCACTATAAACCACAAAATTTCCAGTACCAGATGTGATTGAAAGGATAGGGGTTGAAGTCAGTCTTTTCTTCAATTCCTGAAAACTTTGCTCACAAGCATCTGTCCATTCAAACTTAGTACACTTCCTTGTTAATTTCGTTAAAGAAGAAGCTATTTTTGAAAATCCTTCCACAAATCTACGATAATATCCAGTAAACCCTTAAAACTTCTGACCTCTGAAGGGTTTACAGGTCGTAGCCGATTATTAATAGCCTCTACTTTATTCGGATCCACTGATATGCCCTCACCTGATACTAAATGTCTCAAAAATACAACTCTATCTAACCAAAATTTACATTTCTTAAACTTAGCATATAAGTGCTCGTCCTTTAAGACTTGCAGAATTATTCTCAAGTGTTTAGCATGTTCTTCTTTAGTACGAGAATAAATAAGGATATCATCAATAAATACAATTACGAACTTATCGAGAAAATCTCCAAATACCCTATTCATCAGATCCATGAAAGCTTCTGGGGCATTTATTAACCCCAAATGGCATTACCAAAAACTCATAATGACCATATCTCGTACTAAATGCTGTCTTAGAAATGTAATCTTCCATTATTCTAAGTTGATGGTATCCAGATGGAAAATCAACCTTCGAAAATACAGAGGCACCCTGAAGTTGATCAAACAAATCATCAATCCTATACAATGGGTATTTATTTTTTAATTGTCACCTTATTCAACTTCGATAATTGATGCACAATCTCATTGTACCATCCTTTTTACGAACAAATAATACTGGTGCACTCTATGGTGAAAAGCTAAGTCTAATAAAACCTTTATCTAACAAATCTTGTAATTGTAACTTCAACTCTTTCAATTCAGTTGGGGCCATTCTATATGGAGCCTTGGAAATTGGAGATGTTCCTGGAATTAAATCAATTGCAAACTCTATCTCATGATCTGGTTGTACCCCAGATAAATCATCAGGAAATACCTTTTGAAAATCTTGTGCCACGGGCACATTACTAAGATTCAGATTGTGTTGTGCTTCAATAGCCATAACACTCATCAAATACCCTACACACCCACTATCTAGTAACCTTTGTGCTTTCGATACCGATATGGTTGGAACTCTAAAACCTTTTTCGATCTCAATGAATGTAAATGGCTTATTCTCCAAAGGTAGAAAGGCCACTAACTTCCTCTTACAATCTATAGTAGCTTGATATTTTGACAGCCAATCCATACCGAAAATTATATCATAATCTTCCACATCTAATACAATTAAATCTGCACAAAGCTCTCGATTTTCTATAAGGATCACACATGCTCTCACAATTAGTTTGGTTTGTTGTACATCTCTAGATGGAATAGTTACATTATAACTAACCTCTTGCATATCAAGTGTCCTACCCAACCTCCTCACATACTCATTGGACACAAATGAATGCGTAGCTTCTGAATCAAATAATACAAGTGCTGGGATATCAAAAATAGAGAATTTACCTGTTACAACTGATGGATTTGCCTCGGCATCTGATCTTGTGATGGTAAACACCTTGGCTGGTACCTTTTTCTGCTCCGTAGGATTTGGATTACCTGGGCATGCTCTAGCAAGATGTCTCACCTTTCCACAAACATAACATGTCCTAGTTTCTGTAGGGCATGCTCCAGTATGTTGTCCATCACATCTGAGGCAAGATGGTTGTGCTGTTGAGATCTTTCCTTGATCTATCCTTGGACGTTTGGCTTGATCCCAATGTTGTTGTCCTTGTCTCGGTTGAAATTTAGGCTTTTAACTCTGTCCTTAGCTCTTTTCTTATCATTTCTAGGCTAACGTTATCCTTGATCTTGCCTAATCTGTAGTCGAACCTCTTGAGCACGACTAATTCTTTGTTTGGCTTGTTCTGCAACTAATGCTCTCTCCGCAATTTGAGAATATGAAACATCTTGGATTCCTGCCATACTTACGTATCTATATAGTTCTGGTCTTAGCCCTTCAAGAAATCTTTCTACCTTTAGTGTATCAGTATTAATCATGTGGGTAGCAAACCTGGATAGTTGTTCAAACTTACGAATATACTCTCCCACTATCATCCATCATTGTCTTAGCTATATAAATTCATTCATCTTCATGGTTCGAACTGGAACTGTAAAATATTTATTACGGAATAACTCTTTAAATCTCTCCCAAGTCATGGCACTAACATATTCAATGCTACTCATTGTATCCCACCAATGTCCAGCACTACCTCGTAGCAGAAAGGATGCGCGAACCACTTTTTTCTACTTCTGAAACTCTCGAATACCTAAACATATTCTCCAAAGTTCTCAACCAATCCTTTGCTACTATTAGATTTAATGCATCCTCAAATATTGGAGGGTTTAGTTTTCTAAATCTTTCTCCAACGGTCTCAATATGTTTAACCCTTGGTTGTGGTTGTAAAAATTCGGCCCTTTGTTGTTATCTCCTTTCTCTTTGTTGTATTAATTGCTAAATTTGTTGAGATTGACGCTCAACTAATTTCGTAAGTCTATCAATAACAACGTCTCGACTGTCATCTTGATCGGACGACTCTTGCCCTGGAGTTCTAGCTCTACTATTATTAGCATCCCTGGTTCTCACCATGGTTGCAAGTAAAGATTGGTCAATATCATTCATAAAGTATGTAAAAAATAATGCAACAAAATAAAACATTCTGGCTTAGCTGTGCTCTTTCATACTCCGAGATCATCTACATGGACAGTCTACAAAATTATAACCTCGCTCTGATACCACTCTCTGTCACACCCCCATTCATATACATAACTATCCATTAACCTGTGTGAGAATAAAATTGATGACTCGACGTAGACATAGAATTTCTCACTTTTTTTTTCACCTGATAAAACGATATAAGCTATGTCTCTAAACCAAAATCATGTCGCTATAATCAAACATATATATTCTGATATTATAAACAAGTCTACATGTCAAGTCAAAAGATATACAATACATGATCCCCAACATACAACAAAATAGGCCATAAGCTCAAAATGGCAGCCCACAACATAACCCTACAGGTCGTCATCCATGTATATAGAACTCTGGAATCCCGTAAGAGCTCAATAGCTAGCCATGCTCTCTATGTAGTTCCAGATTAACTTGCAATGCAAGAACTACATAAATCAATACTTAGTAAGCAAAAATCATGCATGTCATGAATATAAATAATAACGATATGGCCATTTACTTTAAACATCACGATAAAGAAGCATCATATTCCAATATGTATCAAAGTCGATTCGAAATCATTTCATTGGGCTCTTGACCCACCTACTATGTACTGGATAGAGCTCTGCATAATATCAATATCAATAATCAAATGGCCAATATGAATTCGACACCAGTGAGTGGACCATCCTTTCATGACCACTAGAGGCTCATCCCCTAACAACCCCTATGATCATCCAAGAAGTCTCCCATCCAACATCGCCAATTATCATAATATCACAAGGGCACAGTCGAGTGGTCCACCCTTCCGTGATCACCAAAGGCCCGTCCCCTATCTACCTTTACAATCACCCAGAAAGTATCACCCACTATGTCAAATATATCACATAAGCATGCCTCATATACCTCGGCGCCCTAGTAGTGGTCAGTAAAACATTTATAAAGAAAACTTACTATGAAATCATGTTTCGCACGCATGATTTTTAACCATGTCACATGTCGTGCATGCATATGAAAATGCTTATGAATGACATATCTAATGAAAATTGATGTCAATAGGTTCCGCAACTTCATACTCAACGATCATAACCATCATATGATGTGCTATAAGCCTCTTATCAAAATTATGTAAATATTCCAACATTATCATATCACAAATACTAGGTTCTTGCGTCGTAGTTGGAAATGAATTTTTACTTACCTTTCGCCTTTGTGTGTGCAAGTTCCTACGGGGTGTGTATCAATTTCCTTTTTGCTCAATGTAAAAAAATCATCTGTATTACCATCTAATATTAAAGACAATCGTCCATTTAATAACCTTAACACACACAATCCCAAAATACATCCATTCACGCCAAAACAATTTAGACAAAATCATTATTTCAAGTTACCGATTGCATTACAAACTAATCCCATAAGTCTCGCTATTTCTCGAGTCCAATATTGAATGTCAACGTCATCTAATTGTTGTCATTAACTAATACTTCTTAGAATCAATTTTCTAGGGCCAAGAGATCATTAATGGACATGTAAAGGTTGAAACCACATTTAACAAGAAAATTGACAGGATTTGTTTTTCAGGTTTCATCACTGTCCAACTACTTTTCCAATCTTTTTTCACCCCCTTATCTATATCCAATGACTCCAAAATTTTTACCATATTTCTATAACATGTATTTGAAGGTAATAATGCTCCAAAATCGTGACAAGTAAAGTGTTCTCAGCATCAAAATAGTCCATTTCCACAACACCAAAATCATGCAATTTTCATTGTGACAGTTTTCGGTTTCCATTTTATTAGCATGTCACCAATCAGATTCCAGGCTATTAGAAGACCATTTCTATTCTTCTAACTCCCATATAACAACACTCATTTACATAGATACAAGTTATATCTTAAGTATTATCCCAAATCAAAGTTTAAACCATCCAAATTCATCAATCAACACATCTCTATTCCTGTTGGTTTCTTTTAGGTTCTTGTACTTGATTACCTCTCTCTTTTGCCATCATAAAATCATAAAAAACCCTTCTACTTAACCTCAATTAAGTTTATAGTTTTAATGTATTATAAAACACCCAAAAGGACTAAAGAAAAACTTCAAAATCGTGACTTAAACTAACCTTTACAAACTGTAATCCCAGCTTCTTATTTTTCTATCTTTCTTTCACTTGGCGTCACTTGTGGATACACTGGAGGTTAAATGTCTTATCTAAGAGATATATAAGTAGCCTCAAGGATTGGAGTCGTGAATTATGCTTAAGGATGAAGGAAAGTGTAATTAAAAGACAAGTATCTTCAAGCATGAGCTGTCCAAGCAGGAGGTGGATTTATACAGCCAACTTTGACCTTTTCCTTCCCTTAAACGGTTCCATATGTGTCTTAGAAGATGTGTATCTATTCTATAATAAGAGATAATGGTTTAGAAGACGTGCTGGAGGCTTAAGGTTGAACAAATTAAATGTTAGATTGACAAGTCCTCTCAACTTACAAGTTAAGTAGGAGGTGTCTTCCTT